AGCCGGCTGTCGATGAACACCCCCAGGTCCATACAGTGTTCTTTATATCTGAAAACTGTGTAACTTGGTTGGATATTAAGATATTTTGGAAGAGATCATGCTTTATGTTTCACGTGACTTAAAGTGAAAAAGAGAATTATATGCTTAACTTAAAAGCAATTGGGTAGATGCTTAACAACTGAAAAGCCAAGAAGTTATTTAGTATATAACACTAGTACATTTATAATTCAATAAATTCTTGCTTCTTTTAGGTGTCTGGGATCCACATGTGTAATCAGTACAGAACATCAGATTCCTTGCCAGAGGATAAAAAGGAGTTTCTGCAAAATGGACCAGACTTACATGACTTCATAGCTGGAGATTTGTCAGACAAGAGTGCATGGGCTGAGTATAAAGGCGATCTAAAGCGCCAGAAAGGAGAAAGGTAATCGTGATTTTAAACAACTGTAGTTGCTTCCATGTGCTGTCTTCCATGTTTAGTATTAACTGCAAAATGTATACAATGTATTTTTATTAAATTTTGCTGTACTGGCTTGCCAATTTGAAAATTGTTCAAGAAAGAACAAACACATTATTAACTTCAAATGTGTAACAAAACATGAAGACATGGTATTTTGTCACCTGAGTTCCTGCGCCATGGCCTGTATTAAATTACCAACACACATCAGTAAGTGAGCATACCCTACTTTGGTGTTGAAAAAATATTACCAATAAGAGTAGAACAAAAAAATGAAGGCTAAATTTAAAAATGCATAAAACCCTCATACTTTCAATTACAAATTTGATCAGACTTTGTGATCGCTGTGTAGCGTATGCTGCCATTAATTGTTGCAGCCTCCAGTGTGGCACTATTAAATCCCAACGGTACAGTTAACAGTTTTAAACCTTCCAGTGACAACAAGCTCCTACTCATGAATGTTGGGATGATGCTAAACATGGAAGAGAGAAGGCCATTATGACTCTGAATGATGTTAACATTGGCTGCTGAGTCACATCAGTTTTCAAGGAACCTTTCCTAGTTAGGATCTGTAACAAATTAAAGTGGATCTATGAAATGAATGGAAGCTTACCATGTAAATAATGTATTAATCTTTTTGTTTGCTTGATGTTGCTCAGGCTGCGTCTTCCTCCATGGCTGAAAACAAAGATTCCCATGGGAAAGAACTACAATAAACTGAAGAATACCTTGAGAAGTTTAAATCTTCATACGGTAAATCTAGTATCAGCCAAGTTTTCCTGTAGAAATAAGGCATTTTCTACAGATACAAAATTATTTCTCTGTGGAGGACAGGCAGAAATCATGTTTTACATCATCTTCAGTGCTGAAACCAAGCCCAGTACTGATCCTTTTCCCAGCTGTGAATTTGACCTGTAAATAATGAAGACAAATCCAGAAGAGTATTTCATGTGTTTCCTGCTGTGATTTTAAATACCAGGGTTTACTATTTGCATCACCAAAAAGATCAGAAGTTGCTATGTGTGACTGTTTTTAATGGAAACACACAAAATTTCAGAGTTACATTCATGTTTTGCACGATAAAGAAATTCTAGGAATACATGCATTTCACTAAATGTAGCTTCCAGATGGTAAAACATGGTGGGTATGCATGGACAGCTTTTTGCTTTTGGTTTGTTGGGTTTTTTTTTCAGAGTGAGATCATGCTTTAATGCATCACAGGCTTTGTGAACTTTTTATCAGTTTTTAAATGTAAAATGTTAATGACGATCTGGGCTAATTAATAAGGCATTAATAAGTTATTATTAATAATTAATAACACGTGGTTGAAGGGTTTTTGAGAGTTGCAAAGTCAAGGAAAATAATGGTAACGGATGTCAAGAAACAATTATCTTCCTACCTATTTTACTGACTTTGTATAGAACAGCACGTAACTGTTAATCTCTGCATTTATCACAGAAGGAATTGTGTTTTGTTTGTAGGCTATTATTCAAATTGATCAATAATATAATAACAGTTTTCAATAATAATGTGGAAAAAAGACAGGTACATTACTGTCTGTTACCTTTAGGTATGTGAAGAAGCGCGTTGTCCCAACATTGGAGAATGCTGGGGAGGTGGTGAATATGCCACAGCTACAGCTACCATTATGGTAAGCCGTTAACCATTTCTTAAGTATCCTCTTAACGTTTGAGCTGTTTGTAGTGCATTGTTGGATCTCTACTGTGGCGGAGTTGGTTTATTGCAAGAAATTTAGTGTGAAGTGCTGTCCTAGGGTTTTTCTGCTTAGTATTGGGATTTATCTGATTTAGCTTATGCAGCTGTTTCTCAGCTGAGCAATAACGATGTGTCCAAGGTAAAGGCAGGAATGTCTTCCTTATTTCAGCTGATGGGTGACTCGTGCACTAGAGGCTGCAGATTTTGTTCAGTAAAGACAGTGAAAAATCCACCTGCGCTGGATCCCAAGGAGCCATACAACACAGCACAGGCCATTGCCGAGTGGGGCTTGGACTACGTTGTGCTGACGTCTGTGGACAGAGACGGTTCGTATGTCCTGCTCGTCACTTCCATCTGAGCTCTCCTATGTGTTGCATGGGGTAAACACAGACCTTGATAAACATTTAGCACTCAGCGCAGTTGTTGAGAATTACTATTGTGAAGGAGTCAACAGTGTGAAAACTTTGGAAAGTTTCTATGTATTATTTCTCTGTCTGGTAAAATGTAACACAAGTTACACTGTTACTAAACATCAAGAATATTACAATACTAAATATTTTGTAACTTTTTTTTCCTACAAAATACATACACATCAAGTTCTATCACTTGATTAGCAAAAACACCCCACCAAAAACAAAACCCATGAGCATTCATATGCCATTACAGAACTTCCTTCCAAAAACTAAACCTGGAAAATATTATACATAACAAAACCAGAAGTTGCCTTTTTCAAAGGTTGTAGAAGCTTCTTTGTTGCGACACCACACAGGTGGGGAAAACCACTGTAAAGACTCCTCAGTCTGGTGGAAGGTCCAGTAGCTTCAAAGTGGCTTACAATAAAAAAGCAATAATACATGTATTTTGTAGAACTGTTTCTTAGACCAAAACCATGAATGGATAAAGCTATTCTGTGCTCAGGCTGCCAGTGAGCCTAGAGAAGGGTAAATTCAGAGTAAACATCTGAAGTCTGCCGTAGACGATCACAGTTAGACTTCGTGCAGAACAAGACTTGGTAGAATATCTGTTGTGAACCTTTGGCATAAGCAGTAAGATAAGACTGGAGTTTGACTACTTTATTATTTTGCATTTAAATTTGAGTCTGCAGGGGTTTTGTGGCTTTGCTAGTAAATACATTTCTTGAACAGAAGGGTTAACTGAATAATTGAAATGCTTCTAGATTTGCCTGACGGTGGAGCAGAACACTTTGCAAAGACAGTCTCTCACCTGAAAGAAAGGTACATCATTAATGTATTACTGTATTATTAACACTTTAGAATGTGGTGCTGTATATAGGTCAAAATTACCTTTAGCTGGATTATTCCAGGGGCCACGCAAATACAGAAGTCTGCCTTTAGCCTATCTGTGTCCCTTTTCTTTTCCTGTTTTTTCATCATTCTCATGTAACAGCCCCAAAGTATTTCGAATTTGGATGCATTTCCAATTTAGCCCAGGCTTATATAAAGCTAAGCACTGGGTTATTTCTTTGAAGAGGCAGCTGGTTCACCAGGAAATGGGTACATACTTTTGAGGTATGCTCATCCTTGAAGTTTGGGGCCCAGGCATTGTGGATTTAGATAACAGTGTCACCACATGACAGAAGTCAGGCTTCTCTTTCAGCAGTGATCAGATTGCTTTGTGTTTTCCCACCATGGCTGTTTCAGAGTCTGTGACTGTACCTTCCTGACGTTGCTGGCTATGCATTCGTCACTCTGCATTGGTGCCCTGTGCACTATTTGATAGCATACTTGTCTGGCTGCAGAATTAACCTCATTAGAATCTTTATCCAGTGTGTCTTGTGACTCAGAAGGTTCCGGCAGTTTTCCCCACCTGCCTTTCTGGGCTGAAATCTGGCTCCTGGACACAAGATTAGATTCCAGGGCAATAATGAAGTCTTTTTATCCCAGTGGCAGGATTATAGCTCCTCTGGATTTTGGACCTATGATATTAAACTCACTTTAAATTAACCTGCAACAGAGACATACGAAAAATCACACATAAACAGTGAATGTGATTGTTTAAGAGACTGATGTATTTGCTTTTGTATTTATTCATTCTATGCTTTATTTATGTATTTATTTATTATGTATTTATTATGTATTTATTTATGTATTTATTCATTCTAGGCTTTCATTCTATTTCAGCTCACATCAGCAAAATTAAGTGAATGGAAGTGTTCAGCTTCCATATGTCACAAAATTAAGCATGTTTTGTTTTGAATTGCAATACAGGTATTTGCAGAAATCTGTTGGTTTAGAGTTATATCCTGAATTAACTTTGCTTTGTATATCAGTGCGTCTTTTGTTTTGGGTTTTTTGCTATATTGAGGGTTTTTTAGTAACAGTGCCACAAATCCCGTAGCTGCGTTCATTTTCAGTCTCTCCTTTTCAGGAATTCAAAAATCCTGGTGGAATGCCTAACTCCTGATTTCCGAGGGGACCTGAAAGCTGTGGCAAAGGTTGCGCTGTCGGGACTGGATGTGTATGCCCACAACGTGGAGACAGTGCCAGCACTACAGCGGTGAGCAACAGCAGTGTGTATAAACGCAGGGACTGACGGATAGACAGACAGACGGACGGGCTTCTGTAAAAAGACTTTGCGCCAGGGAAGGCCTCGCTGGAGCCCTTTACTTGGCTCCTCACGGAGGGTTTCTCTCCCCGGCGGAGCAGGCCGCAGGCCGAAATGGCGCGGGGG